ATACTTATGTAAGAAATAGTATAAATTTTACATAAACTCTTTCAGAAAAAAAGAGGAGGTGGGAACACTTCCCAAGTCATTTTATAAGATCGGCATTGCCCTGATATCAAAAGCAGACAAAGACATTACAAGAAAAGAAAACAACAGGTCAATGTCCCTCATCAACATTGACACAAAAATCCTTGACAAAATTTCAGCAAACTGAATCCAGCATAATATACCATGACCAACTAGGGTTTATTCCAGCAATGCAAGGTTTGTTTCATATTTTAAAAAGCAACAGTTAATGCAGTTTACTGTATTAACAGAATAAGAGGACTCCATATGATCATTTCAATAGATGAGGAAAAAGCATTTGACAAAGCTTAACACTCATTTGTGAGAAAATACTTAGTATATTAGGATTAGAAGGGAACTTCCTCAACCTAATAAAGAACATTTATGAAAAATCTGACAGCTAACATCATGCTTCATGGTAAAAGATTAAGTGCTTCCCCCTATGATCAGAAACAAGACAAGGATGTTTTCTCTAACCACTTCTATTCAATATCATATTGGAGGTCCCAACCAGTGTAATAGGCAAGAAAAAGAAATAAAAGTCATGAAGATTGTAAAGGAATAAGTAAAACTTTCTTTATTCACAGATGACATGTTTGTATACATGAAATATGCTAATGAATCTACAAAAAGCTACTAGAGCTAATGAGTTTAGCAATGATACATTATTCAAGATCAATATAAAATCAATTGTATTTCTATATTCTAGCAACAAACAATTGGAAATCAAAATTTAAAAATACCATTTATAATAACATCAAAATCATGAAATACTTAAGGATAAATATAACAAAATTTGTGCAAGATGTGTTCACTAAAAAGATAAATAAAAATTTGAAATTAAAGACAAGAAAATGGAGAGATATAGCAAATTTGTGGATTGAGAGATTAAATATTGTTAAGATGTTATTCCTCCCCAAATTGATGTATAGATTCAGTGCAATCTACAGATGCACTGCAAGACTGTTTTACATTAGTAACATACATTTGTATATAAATCTACACTTGTATATAAATCATTATTTTTAATAGCTATATATATTTCCTCATATGAATGATGCATAGTTTATCCAACCAGTCCATCAGAAATGGTCTGGTTAAGTAAATATTTTTCACTCACTAAATTTTGTTAACAAATCTATCTGATTTAGGTATATACATAGACCTGATATATCTGCACATACATATACATATATGTATATATGAATACATTACATAACATAATTGCTATACTCTATCTTAGATCATAGGATCCAAATAGTATTACTGAATTACAGAACATTCTTATATATGATAGTCCATAAGATTTATTACATGGAGTGGGTGATTTGCTAAATTAGCCACGTACTGGTCTTTTTATGGGACCTCATGCCACCTTTGGGCTTTCTCTATGGTAGAGATACCTAAGACAGGCATATGGACAGGTTCCCTTCCTCTCAGCTTCCCAACCTGGGCCCAAATCTTCTAGCTGGGAATGCTTCTTTACTCCATGCCTGGCTGGCAAACCTGGCTCCCTAATTCCTGAGCTGGGACCAACTCCCTGATCACTGCCTTTATGACATCACTGGTTTTATATCTCATGAGAACTATGATAAAATCTCACCACTAATTGCTTTTAATATTTGTACTTGGTTTGTCTTCTCAACTCCCTTCCCTTAGTTGGCAATCTAGTGTTTTCCCATGGACACATCTGTTTCCTACAGCTGGGATAACTGATACTTCTTGCAAAGGATGGGTGGTTGCTACTGGAAGCCTTTTCAGCAAAAGCCTTCCAATTCTTCCATCTTAAAAAGAGTTTTACAATGTGAATGTTTGAGATGATTATTATCCAAACACTCATTTATTCAGGTGTTCATTCAAACAATGAACACCAACAAGGTGGGTGGCTGACACTGTGCTAAGCACTGAGGGGGAATACAGACAAGCAAAACACAGATGACCAAATGAATAGTATAGACTATGTTATAGGAGCGTACTGGAACCTCTTAACAGGTTTGCCTTTCTCAAGTCTCTCTCTTTTGCAATCTGTCTTTCGTGTGCTACTGAGTAAGCTTTCTAAAAACCAAAGCTCATCTGTTTTCACAGAAAAAAAAAAGTATAAACTCTTTAGTGCAATGTTCAAGGCTCTTCATAATGTGGCCTCAATTTTCATTCAAGCCTTAATCCTTCCCACTCTCCCTTAGAAACTCTATGTTCTACTACTATATCAAACTTCTCACTGGTCCCATGAAGCACCAGGTCCTTTCCAATTCCTGTTCCCTTTTCCTAGAATGTCTTTTCCTCTTCTTCACTGGCAGACTCCCAATCAACCTACATGATTCAGTTCGAAGTCTTGGTGAAACATTTCTTCTATTATCTTCAACTGTCCTGGATTTGGGCATTGTTCTGTCACCTTTATTAGATGGTGAAATGTTTGGGTGCACTGGGTTTGCCTGTTAGTCTTTGTATCTCTGAATTCAAGTCTGAATAGGGCCTGGCAAGTAGTAGGGACACAATGAATATCTGTTAAATAAATGAAGGAATAATTGAATGTGAAGGAAGAGCTCAAAGGGCCTTGGTATATTTAGGTAAGAGATTTTTAAAGGCACAGGGCTTGAAGCTGGACCTAGGAAGACAATAGAGAGATGGAGAAAGAGCATTTGGAGGAGGAAGAATATTATCCTAGGACACAGAAGAACACAAGCCCAAGACTGAAAGTGAAGACAGTGAGGGGGTCAGTCAGAATGCAGCTGACTGCTGCACTATCTTGACCTTTTCACTGATTAGATTTCTCAATTATATTTTCAGCTCCTGAAGGGCAGGGCATTTTGTACAATCCTTTGTATCCCTTTCATGTTTGATGCACATCTCTACAGTCATTGTTCCTACTGCCTTGTGTTTCTTACTCTTCTCTGTAATATAATTATTTGTATATCTACATATCTCCCCAGAAGTTATACCAGCCTCCCTCCCAGGCTTCTTGAGATAGGGATGAGGTGAGGTCTCAGTGTCTTTGCATTTTCCAAGACACCTAGCATAGTGCCTGGCACACAATGGGTGCTCAATAAATATTTTTTGATCTGCCATTTGTTGATCTGATTACAGAGAACCACAAGGATATTTGTGTGCAACTGTGTATTGTGGCACAAAACTTATATATGCCTTCACACTGTGCAGTCTATTTTTGGCAATTTTCATTAAAATGTTATCTTATTGTACAGGGAAGACTGTCATTTCAATTTTCTTCTTTGTTCCTTCTGGGATGACTCACATCTCTTATACCAGAAGGATATGACAGAAGGGATTCAAAAAGGGTTTGGATACATTTATGAATGACAAAGTCATAAATGTCTGGGTATAAGGAATTGTTAGGAGCATGCAAAGGGGAAGGAGAAAACTTGCATTTTAAAAGTGCCTATTATGTGCCAAGAACTGTGTTAGGCAATTGGCATACATTGTATATTATTTAATCTGGCAGGATATGTCAGCATAAAGATAGGACGTGTCTGTCTATAAGGCCAAACCCACACCCATTCAGGCACAAAGCTTCTCCAGGTACCAGAGGCAGTATTCATCTTTATTAAAATTTTATCAACCTTTTAAGACAGATGAATCTATGGATTTGCACTGTTTCCTAGGAACAGAACACTCATTCTCAATTCAAGCTCCTATAGTTTAAAACTCCTTTTTGACATAACTTGATCAGTTTTTAAAGTCTCAATGCTTTAAATTACAATGCAATCTGAGATAGTCCCACAGCAATAACAGCAATTACATTTGTTCACAAATGTAATTTGTTCACTTATCTTTATATTTCATAAACGTAACCTTCCAAATACTGAACAAGGGTAAGTCAAGTCAAGAAAAGACACTTCTATTAACCCTGACACCAGCAAATTGTCTCAAATTATAGCATGCCTTCAATTTGTATTCTAAACACATTGAGTGGTTTTTCAGAGATACATATTATACCTCATTTGTGGTTAGAAGAAAATTGGAAGGAAATTAGTTTAAGTTGTTTCTAATTTTTTAAAAAATAGTAACTTTAAAAAGAATAATGTTCCCAAGTGAACAGATTCTGCATGTGGTAGGAATCAAAACATAACCAAAGTACTATCTCTACTCCTGGGAATGGCTTGAGACAGTGGGGCTGCAGGTATTGGTTCACACATTGGCTTTATTATAAGTCACATAATCTAAGGCCTACAACTACACATCTTGATCTGTAATAACATGCTTCCTGCTAGGTGTGGGGGTGGGTGGAAAGAGAAGGGGTACACCTTCAGATAAGGGATAATCAGTACACTCACAGATCTCAGACAGTTTTCTGTTAATCTGTTTTGGGAAAACTAAAATAGACTCTTTGCTCCGGAAAGCATTAAAGCCTATCTCATATGACTAAAGAAAATGGCAAAGGTTCAAATGACATTTTACATTTTAGATGGTCTTCCCGCAACCTCTCTGCCACTAATCATTGGAAAATACCAGACATGTCTTTGTGGTGATTATGTGTTTCTTAATTTTATAATAGTCAAAGGAAACTGAAAGACCAGGACTGACCCCAAAGAACATAGGTGTGACATACCACGTATGGGAGTTTTTAAAGATAGACAAGAATCCAGCTTAAACATTTCAAATATTCCCCCTTCTTTTTTGAGACTAAGGGATGAAAATATGCACATATTCCAAAGAGTTCTTTGTGTGAACAGGTGACCCCTTCCCACAGTCTCTGTAATTAATTGAGAAATTAAAGTTAGTTGGCCTTTGAGATCTCTTGTTAAGAAAGGCAGAAGGTCTTGGATATTTTGGAACAAGAGTCCACTATTCTGCCAAGACAGTGTGTTATTGTTATTGGAGTGTCTCTCAACAAAACGGTATTGAGTGGTGAGGACGTGATTTTGATTAGGTGGAATGACTCAGCTCTTCCCCTTAAAGAAGAGAGGACTTGTCAGAGCCTTACTTACCTCATGATCTGGGATCTCAGAGGATAGTGTTTTCCCTAGGATGACCCCGGTCAAGTATGTCCAGCATCGAGCTGTGTTGGCAAGGTTATAGCCTCCTGTCTCCATCAAGAATTGTGAAGTTAGGAAAGAACAGTCACAAAACAGCAGGAGAGGGAAGGAGGGTAGGAAGGAGAGAAAAATGTTTTAATAAAAGGGCTAAAAAGACAGTCCCAACTTGCAGAATTTCACCTAAACATCCCTTTATAATGTTTTTGAACCACCTAGTAGGCGGACTTTAGTGGATTAGTTAGACCATGCAGTGTGGAACTGGGAAGTCTAAAGCCTACAAAGATTAAAGGGGCCTTCATCTCTGAACAAATATGTAACTGAGGACTCCAAGCTCCTCAATTTCATCGAGTTATCAGCAAGATTGAGATCCCTGGAACCCGGATCTCTCGAGGTGACCTACCCAGCATGAAGGTCTCTGTGATGAATTTTGCAGCAATTCTATAAAATGGCTGCTGGATGTGATTTGTATGTTAAAGCTATTGGCAGATATAGACCTAGGAATATCCAGGAAAGAGAAATGGAAAATGCTGGCAGAAATAGACTTCCTTCTTTCAATATCAGCATTCCTTTTCTCCACAAAACACAGGCCTAGTGGCAGAGATCAATGAGAATGAGATGAGGAAGGGACTGTTGACTGACGCTCTGACCCATCTCATCAGGTTCTGTCACAGTCACCCAGCAGCCATATTATACTGGCTAATAGTCAGCATATTTTTGCAATGAATAGATGTATTCTGCTGTGCAAGCATTAGAACATTGGCCTTTAGCTAAATTCCAAGAATATAAGGATGAAATGGAATGATTTCTTAAGCCCAGTGCAGCCTGAGGGAAATAGAAGCTGATCTATTTTAGGTAGGGTAGCCATATAATTTATTGTCCAACTGGTATACTTTTAACTGTAAAAGGGGACACTATTAATAATTACACTGGGATAACATGTATAAATTGAGGCACCTTTCTCTTAAGCCTTGAAAGCCTTACTCTTTTAAAGGCCAGGGATAGTGAGGATTTTAGAATATGTTTTTTAGACCTCAGTGGGGTCTAATGAAGCCTGGGGATGTGGCCATCTCCACTAATTATCTATGTGCTATTGGGAGTTGAAAATTTGAGTGAAATAGTACAGATATGACCTTAAACATTCCTGATGTGAAAAATATGAATTTATAAGATTGACTTATTGGGTGTAATTATTTGATTTCAAAAAGATCCACTATAGATTTTAAGTAGTAGGCTCCTTCTGTTATACATACTATATGATTTGATTTGCAAAAATTCCTTTTACATACAGGCATTTTCAGGAATACACATATTGCATAAGAAGAGTTAAATATTCAAAAGCCAAAGCACTAAGTAAAGGCTGTAGCCACAAACAAAAGTTGAATTTGCACAGATGTATATTGTAGAAAGGCCTTTTTTCTTCACCTGAGTTGTACCTGTATCATAATCAACATCCTTAGTGCTGTCAAGGAAAATAATATGTCACACAGTACTTATCAATTTTATCTTTTCCCTGTGTTGAAGTTAATACATGTTTTGCCAGCTTTTCATAAAAGGTTGTCTCTTGTAAGCACTTTTAATTTTGATTCCTCTAGAGTCTGAGGCTGCCAAGGGACCTGGCATGTGTATTGGTATTGAATGCTCACTCATTTTCATAAGACCTTCCCACAACCTCCTCTAATTTGGTTTCTATAATAGGTTGACAAAATAATAAACTATTAGCTGTTCCATAATACTTGCATTTTAAGCTCAATCTGCCTGACCATGTTATTTTAACACACTAATCCATTCACCCAATGAAATACAGGTTGTACCAGATGGATAGATAGAATATTCTCAACAAAGCATCTTCAAAAATAGTTGCGGTTATAAAAGGTACTTTCACAAATGTGTAAGTGCTTCTCTTGAACAGACCCAGCTTTCTCTTGGTCAAGTAATGCAAAACATCAGTACATACTGAAGATAAGGATGTCCAAGAGATTCTAGATCTCTCAATTTTCCTTTACTGTAACAAACCCATGCTTTTTTTTTTCTTTTTGGTGGGGGTGGGAGGGAGAAGTTGTTCTTGAATTGAGCTTAGATATTTAATTAATTCATGTGTTTACTACTTATATATGAGTAGACTTAGAATTTTGGTATGTTTCCAAAGGATGATTATTAGAACTTAGAATCAAAAACTACATTGAGAGAAGATGGATTAAAGTCCATTGAGGTTAACATCAACTATTCTTAATAAGATCTGATGGCACCTTTAACCAAAGGACCTTTGCTTTAGGAATTGAAACTTAGACTTCACAGTGCTAAGGAGTCAATGCACATGCCAAGCTAAGGAGAAGCGTGTCACAGTACTTCCTTATGCTGATTTGTGAAGGGGGCAGAATTCTTTAACTTAGGCTTCTGGATCACAGGCATGTTGGTATTATCCAATCTAAGAAAGCCAAATTTTCTTCAGTGTCAATGGACAAAATGTGGAAGAAGGTCAGCAAATTCTCCTGGTGACCTTCCTTTGTACTCACCTCCTCCCAAAATGAGTGTTGCCAATTGCCACTGAAGGATGTACTTAAGACATTTGCCAATTCCCACTGGAGTCATGTTAAAGGAGCACATGGGATCCCCAGCAATTGTATCAGCTCCCAGCTGTAAGACCACTGCTTTAGGATTAAAGGCTATGTATACCTCCTTTAGTACACTGTGGAAAAGAGAAAAGATATAAAATGTCAGAAAACGACAGGTCATTTTGGTGTAGGTGGTGGTGGTGGGGCAATTGGAGATATAGCTGAGTCAGCAAAGAGTGAAGGGGGAAAAAAACCAACCCAACTAGTCAAGCTCATCAAACTTTCCATCTAAAATGGGTGATTCAGGGGCGCCTGGGTGGCTCAGTCCATTAAGCGTCTGACTTTGGCTCAGGTCATGATCTCATGGTTCATGGGTTTGAGCCCCGCATCAGGCTCTGTGCTGACAGCCAGCTCAGAGCCTAGAGTCTGCTTCGGATTCTGTATCTCCCTCTCTCTCTGACCTTCCCCTGCTCACGCTGCCTCTCTCTCTCTCAGAAATAAAACATTAAAAATTAAAAAAAAAAAACAAACCAGGTGATTCAGACTATATGTAAATTATACCTTAATAAACCTGATTTACAAAAAAATTCCCTCCACCTTTACCTTACAAAGAACCAAATTTACCTTTGTGTTTTAGAACTCAAACTTCCTTTAAATATTTATATTAACTTAACTTTAACAGCCATAGGACACAGTGTATATATTTACCCCATTTTATAATCTGGTAAAGTAAGATATATATAGTTCATAGTTAAGGATTATTTCTGATAATTTAAGATTGTTAACATTCTTGGAGTTTATTATCTAGTTATTGATGGAGACCGCTGAAGAGAATTAACATGCTTTTAAAGCATAGATGTTATCAGCTTACTTTCTATTATTCTAAAGGACTTCTGGGTTATGAAATATAGCCCTACCTAACTCATATGTAGCCAGAGTATTATAGGGTAGAGAATGATAACAACTTACCCAAAATTATAAATCTGAAGCACCCTAAAGAATAAGTCGTAGTGAGTAGTAATGAGGATAATTCTGGGTCGAATCATATGGTGCTATCAAATCAACCTAACAGCTTTTTTCCTGACAGCTATAAGCATTATAGATGAAAAGGAAGTTGTCAATGTGACAGATGACCTTAGTCAGGCTTTTAGTATTATCATTAATTGAACACTGACACTGTCCAGAATGCATTTTAGGAGTTCTAAGGTCCCTGCTCTCAAGGGGTTTACAATCTAGTTTCCAGACAAAACATATACCAGTTCTCATGGGCCTGAGTAACTCTTATGGAGACATATAAACAAGTGCAAATTAACATTCTTCAGAGTTGAGAAAATGCAGAGTCAGAAAGTGATACAAAATGTTGGGGTTAATGACCCCTTCATAATCAACATGTCAAATTATACCAGTGCAGCAAAAACAGAAAAATTCCAGATCTTTTTGCAACTGCAAAAAGAATTCAGGGATATAAAATGCCATTTTCCCAAATTCATATATAACCAGGGTATTGAAACTATTGAAAAGTGTTTAGCTGCAGAGGCATTCTTAGACTCAAAAGAGTGTTTTGTTTTGATTTTTCATCTATGCAGACAAATATTGTGTGATTGTGGAGATTATAATAATATTATAAAAGTTATGACATATGATCCTTAAAACAGGAATACTCAAGCCTATTCTCTCTTTCATGTGCTTATCTCCTGGTGCAGAAGGAAGATAAGCTACCTGAATAGTTAGCTAACATGTACTGAACATCTACATGTACAGGGAATCTTATTAGCTGCTATCAGAAGACACAGAGGAAGGTATGGTTTTTGTTCTAAAAAGGTTTATAACTTAACAGGAAGAAGGGGGAGGCAAGAAAGACCAATGTTTCTTCATTCATTCTTCCCCTCATTTTGCACAAATTTACTGAGTACCCTCTGTGTATCCAGCATGTAACTGTACCAGATGCTGCAGGAACAAAGATGAATATGACACAGCTCTTATCTTCATGTGGCTCAAAACCGAGGGGAAGACTCATACTATGTTAATCAGTAATTAAAATACAATGATGAATGAAGCATCAGAGATGGCACAGTGAAAGGATTAATTGACTTTTCCAGAAGATGTTAGAAAAAGCTCTATAGAGGTAACTTTAGACTTAGGTCTTAATAGATGAGAAGAACTACAACCAGTCACCTATTAAAATGGCTAAAATGAAAAATAGTGATAACATCAATTGCTAGTGAGGATGTAGAGAAAGTAGATCACCCATAGGCTGTGGATGGGAATGTAAAATGGTGTAGTCACTTTGAAAAATAGACTTACCATGCGACCCAGCAATTGAACTCTTAGGCATTTATACCACAGAAATTAAGGCTTATTTTCATATACCAACTTATACACAAATGTTCATAGCAGCTTTATTTGTAATAATCCAAACTGGAAACAACTCAGATGTACTTCAACAAATGAATGGTTAAACAAACTGTGGTATATCCATACCACTGGAATATTGCTTATCAGTAAAAATAAACAAACTATTGGTAAATGCAAAAAAACTTGGATGGATATCAAGGGAATTATTCTAGGTGAATAAGGCCAATCCAAAATCTATACTGCATGATTCCATCACATACCATTTGTTAAATAACAATTTGAGGGATGGAGAACAGATGGAGGTTGCCAGTAGTTAGGGATGGGTATGGCTATAAGATGGTACTATGAGACAGCCTTGTGGTGATGGTATAGTTCTGTATCTTGATTGTGGTTGTGGTTTTGGCAATACAAAGCTATACAGGTGATAAAAATCTCATAGACACACACACACACACACACACATACACATACATGAGTGCATATATAACTGGTGAAAACTGAAATAAGTTCTATGAACTGTACCAATGTCAGCCTCTTGATTTTGATATTGAATTATAATTATTCAAGATGTCAACATTGGAGAAGGCTGGAAGATGGGTGCATGGAAATTTCTTGTACATTTCTTTGCAACCTCCTTTGAAACCATAATTATCTCAAAACGTAAAAAGAAAGATCAGGGAAAGTTTACAGGCATATGGGTGAAGGTAGTGGAGTTGGAAGTGGGGATAGTTGTGAGGTTTATTAGTAGGGGACTAGCTTCAGAGAAGGAACTGCATACATAAGAGCATGATGGCTGAAACAGGCAATGGTGGGAGCGAGGCTAGTGAAGTAAATGTGGTTTAGTGCATAAAGGGCTACAAGATATGCCAGGCAGGCTAATGAGTGGGCTTTTCCTTTAAGGAGTATGAAACATCTCAAACATTGTGTGTACCTATGTGTTTACATGTGAGTATGTGTGTTGGGGGAATGATAAGATTTACATTTTGAAGATACTTTGGGGGGCACCTGGGTGGCTCAGTCGGCTAAGTGTCTGACTTTGGCTTGGGCTGTGATCTCACAGTTTGTGGATTCCAGCCCTGCATTGGTCTCTCTGCTGTCAGCACAGAGCCCACTTTGGATTTTCTGTCTTCATCTCTCTGCCCCTCCCTTGCTCGCTCTCTCCCTCAAAAATAAACAAACATTAAAAAAAGAAAGAAAGAAAAGAAAAGATACTCTGGATATAGCATAAGATACATTGAAGGTTATCAGGGGGCTTTTGCAACAATCCAGGCCAGTGGCAGTAAGGCCAGAGAAGACGAGATGGATTTGGGAGATACTTCTATGATAGAATTAATAGGGCGGCACATATTGACACACAAGGAAAGTGTATACATATAACATTCATGAGTGTTTGGTACTAGGGCAGAGGAAAGGATAAAGGAAGGCAAGGTGTTTCTGGATCATTTTTTAAAGTGATAGCCAGGAAGGGAAAATGAGTCCTCAGTGAGTTCTGATGAAGAGGGCTCCGGATGGATGGAGAAAAGAGTAATTAGAAGCTTTGGAAAAGGTAAGGTAATTTGTTTGTTGTTTTTTTTTGTTTTGTTTTTTTAATTTTTATTTATTTCTAGGAGAGAGAGAGAGAGACAGCGTGAGCAGGGGAGGGTCAGAGAGAGAGGGAGTCACAGACTGAAACAGGCTCCAGGCTCTGAGCTGGCAGTCAGCACAGAGCCCGACGCGGGGCTTGAACCCACGAACCGCGAGATCATGACCTGAGCGAAAGTCGGACGCCCAACCGACTAAGCCACCCAGGCGCCCCAAGGTAAGGTAATTTGTATACAATGTAAATCTCAAAGCAACTGCAAGTGAGGACAGCTTACATGTGAGGGCTACATGGTGGATCCCCTTAAATTCAAGACTGGAAGTTTTCATTTGTTTTGACAGTCAAATGGGAATCGCTGGAGAAATATAAATACTGATGTTGCTGAATGATGCTTAGGAACTTTGATTTTTGTCATTTCATGGAAGGCCAAAGAGAGAATGTCTGGAGGCAGAGGGATTGGCAAAAAGGTTATTGAAGCATTCTAAGTACAAGAGCAACAGGAAGCAAGGTAAGGTAAATTTTGGGGAAAATGAGAGGGCCAGGTGACAGATTGGGTGGGGATAGGGGGTGGTCAGAGTAGAAAATACACTGTGCCAATTCCTCTAGAATTCACAGGAGGGGGAAGAGAAATAGAAATACTCCTTGTAGTATTGGCATTTCCAAATCCACTCTTCTTTCCTCTCATCAATTTCTTCTCCTTTGAGTCAATATCATTTACTTATACGACTGAAACACTATCCAAGGTCTTTTCTATAGACCTACAAGGAATTCTTTTACCTCCATTAAAGATATTAGCACCTGATTCACAAGTTTTCTGTCTCTCTCTTTCCCTGTCATTATTCTCTGCAGGTCACTATTCATTTGCTTACTCAGATCTTGATTCAAGCACCTATTCTTACCTATCCTAGGCTCTAGAGATACAGAAATAAGTTAGATTCAAAGAGCTTATTGCCCAGTAGGGGAAGAAGATAGGAAAACAACTATGATATGTGCTATAATATCCATCCATTAATTCAAAAAAGTTAACTAAATGACTACTATATACCAGGCATTATGTTGGGCAATGGGTTTACTATTGAACAAGAGACCTGCCCCTTCCCTGTCACCCTTCTAATTCTCTGAAATCACAGTTTTTTCACCTTCTGAACAACAGTGATGCCTGTCTGCACTCCACTTTAGTTATAGCTAGGCATAGCGATG